TTCAAGCTCATTTAAATTAATCCACTCTGCCCTCAGTGTGGGGAAGATATGCAACAGCCTTTGTTAACCGAGCTAAGATTATTCCCAAATTCTTCAATCAAAAACACACTGGTTAAGATAAAACATAAAACAAGTTTATTAATTACAGAAAGATTTTTAAGTGATAGCAAACAGAACAAATCAGGTTACCTAGGAAATTAAACACAGAAAAAAAAATTACCCAGTTTGCCCATACCGCTATGTGGAGAGGAATATGCACGAAACCTTTAACTGAGCTGCGATTTTTCCCAAACACTTCACTCATACCACACTGTTTTAGGTTAAAAAAAATGTATAATAGATTTATTAATTACAGAAAGATTTTTAAGTGATAGCAAACAGAACAAATCAGGTTACCTAGGAAATTAAACACAGAAAAAAAAATTACCCAGTTTGCCCATACCGCTATGTGGAGAGGAATATGCACGAAACCTTTAACTGAGCTGCGATTTTTCCCAAACACTTCACTCATACCACACTGTTTTAGGTAAAAAAAAATGTATAATAGTCTTTTTTAAGTGATTAGAAGTGATAGCAAAGAGATCAAAGTAGATCACCTAGCAAATAAAAACACAATCTAAGCCTAATATACTACACAGGATTTGAATCAAGCAGTGTCGATAATACCATCAAGTTTCCATACATAGGCTAGAAATCTTTTTAGCCTGGGATCAGCACTTTCCCCAGTTCAATCGTTGTTCCTCCAGTGTTGATTTGCAGACGGAGTGAGGACGTTGGGCTCATACCATGTGCGGAAAAGACATTAGGCACATTTGAAAATTCCATCCTGTTTAGATGACCGAATCACGGTGAACACAAGAACAGCAAATGGAAATTAGTTAATTTGCTGCACAAGTGTGCAGACAAATTATGATTATGGTTTTTCCCAATATTAGGGGGTAACTGTGGATTTTTCAAAAATATGCTAATTAATCTGGCAGCTTCTGAATATTGCTTACTGATAAGAGCCAAATTCTTTTCTGGTATAACCCTGTTAGAGTCAATGGGGTTTTATGAGCTGAGAATTTGCCTCTGATCTCTATGGCCCTCTGAATAGCAATGAATCAAATCAGGGCTGTGTTTTCAAGGATAAATCAGTGGTAAAGCTGTGTTGATTGGAGCCGTATTTAAAAACAGTTTCTGGTCTTTTGAGTAGTGTAGACATGGCCATTCTTTCACTCTTAGCTCACGCAATTCCTGCTGGGCACTATTTATGTATTTGTATGAAAAATCTGCTTTTAGTCACCACTTCCAAACTAAGGCAAGCCCTGGGTGTTTTGTTTTTCAGATTCCTTTTTCCCAAGGGTGAATCCC